GATGGAACCGGCCATTCTTTAGATAGAACATGGAATGGGTACAGCACTTTTGGCCCTTTTTTTGCTGAAAATAGTCATTAAAGTCCCCCAAATGAGTCATTTGGAAGTGGTGTATGCCAAATATGTGACTGCTATTCTGTAGACACATGTTCAAGGTACCCTTATACCGAAGTTCAGATCATTTGGTTGTAAAAGCAGGGCTCAGGATCCAAAAATCCATTTTTTGGCGAAAAATGCCCCAAAAAACCTTCATAAAAGTTTTTCAAAGGCATATATCAAAAAAATGAAAAAAACGCCTGGGGGTATTGGCCCACTCTACCTCCATGCCAAATTTCAAGTCATTTGGCTGAATGATGGCGGAGTTGAATCCCTTTGACTGTTTGGCAGGAGAAGGAGGAGAAGAAACATGAGAGAACACAATATATTTCATCCATACCATGGTATGGACTGAAATATAATTAATGATTTTCATACGCGGTATGACTGGCATGGTCGGGCGAATCCACGTACATGTTGCACCCCGTTGTAATGCAATCCGAACATTGTCAAGTGCAGTTATGTAATATAATATCAAAACAAATATTGCTGATATCAGTTATAACAATAGCAATAAAATGAACTAGACGCTTCTAATCTGTGTTTCTATGTGATAATCTGTTCTAGTTTGTCGTGGAAACTAAATCACCTCTTTTGTGAAGAAGATTATTTCAATATGGAAACGTTCCTGATTTCAGGACTCCAGGAATGCTATCGTTGACGGGTGGCGCTGGCCTAGTGGAGTGATTCCCTTCGTCATTGGGAGCGAGTTTAGTAAGTTCTTTCTGTCATAACGTCATAAAGATATTGCATCTTTAGGGTGGATCATCTTATTTAAGTACATGTATATTCCTCTTTATGTATAGACGTTAGAAATTCCCATATTACACAGTGTCACTCTTTTTATATCATGTTGATTAGTCTTATGGAACTGTAGTTATGTACCAGTAGATGACATACTTTGTACCATATACAATTGTTGTTCAATGCATAAACATGAAAGCTTCCCCTCTGTAGGTACGTCCTGTCGTGACAGTAACAGCAACTGTGGCAATTGGGCCTCTATCGGTGAATGTGACGCCAATCCGGACTATATGCTGGACGAATGTGCCCAAAGCTGTGGCCTCTGTGGCCGCTCCGGTACGGAGAAAATTATAATGATCATTCCCTGCTCATGTTCACTATAATCTCTATACGAATACGTTTCCCAACATTTACCTTTTTTTAAATCAAATGATCACAATTATGATATTATTTATAGCGGCTGCGTGATAATAGATTACTCACTGTCACAGTCACTGCAATGGCAGTAAAACTGTCATCTACCACAAATGATTTCATCGTTCATCGACGTCCGTGGCATCAATCTTTGTTGAACTTTAGATTTGTCTTGTGGATCTATGATACGTTACTTTGGGTACCTCGATCAGGTGAAGATTTGCGCGACGTGAGTCTCTTCACTGCACGCTAGGTTGACACGTTCATGTAATCCACACTCTGACACCCTAAAGTACGTAGGGTCACCCTAAATTACGTTGTTGTAAATCTTAATTTCAATACCAAAGGTATACCTGGGATAAGTCAAAGTGCCACCTTTCTCTGTTCTACAGGATCATCAAACAGAGCACAGAAGCCTACACAGAGAGCTTGTAAGATTTGCTTCAACCTCCTCACACTCTGGTTTTACTTTGTTCTTGTTTGCTTGGAAACGTTTTTGACACCAGCAAGCACAAAAGTTGAACCGATTTCTTTTTGTTCAGATAACGCGGACTGCTACACTGACTCCACCCAGATGACCGGCGACAGCTTTACGTAAGACCCAATTAATGACTTGACATACATGAAGAGATGTTACTAGTATTACTTTCGGATGGAAGTATTGCTTTAGGTGGCGCTGCATCATGATCGGTTGGGGTTCCAAAATGAGTAAACTGAATTTGCATCCTCTGGTATAATTCATTAACGCAAGCCATATCTACTTCTCGGAAGTTTGAAATGTCTTATTTTGACTACAACGTCAAAATAGACTCTGTTCTAATGTTTCAAAATCAGCTGTAGAACTACTGTATTGTTGGGAATTTTACAGCGTCAACTGTCCTTCTGGGTGTTCACATGGCGCAGATGTCTGGGGATCTGGCGTGTACACGGACGTGAGTACCACTGAATAATAAGAACTAACTTTGTGCTTCATGCTTATAGTTGTCCAAGATAGATACATTTCTTTTGGGAGGTGGAAGGGCACTAAACAGACGATATTCTGTGCCAGGATTCGGGCGTCTGTCGCGCTGCTATCCATGACGGCAGACTCACTAATTCCGGAGGCCGGGTGACGGTGTACAGGTGGTCGGGACAGACCTCTTACGGGGGCTCCACTCAGCACGGCGTTCAGACCATGGAGTAAGTGGTGGATCCTACAGCGACTTTGCAGATAGTTTTGCCCTTGTAATGAATCATGATAAAGCTGATGTAAATATTACGTAAGGCTTAAATATGCAATCTTTTTACCCTTTTTCAGTTACGGCTCTTGGAGCAGTTCCTTCGCTTTTGAGCCAGGTAACTTGCTTATGTCAGTGTTTTGCGATAAATACTTGAAAAAAATTGTTCACTTACTCGTATACTCAAATACTTTCATTTACGTCTTGTGCGAAGAGATAGATTAACCAAGTGTTTATTTTTCATTCCTAATGTGAGAAATTCTCTTTGTCTGTCTCACATTACAGAAAGTAGCGACTTGACTGGTGGAGGCGGTATAGATGGAGGTGACGATATACATCATATATATAGATATATATGTTTGTGTGTGTGTGTGTGTGTGTGTGTGTGTTGTGTGTGTGTGTGTGTGTCCATATCTGTACCTAAATATACTGCTGAAATTTGTATAAGTTCCGGACGATCTATCTGACGTAACTTTATGAATGCAAGGTTATTTCACGCTTTCTTTCTTTCTTTTTTTTTTTTTAGATTCCGTTACCTGCTCCACTGATTCCACGAAGATGGCCGACGACGTCGACAGCATGACGTAAGACCCGTTTCCACGAATAAGTACCCGACATATACAAGCCAGGCGTTCTGGTTGACACTAATGTATGCCCGGTTTCTATGTTTGGGTTCCGAAGTGAGTGGGCGGTTTTCTATAGCTGGTATACCCTGGGTTCAAGGATGTGGTTGCCATGTAGGAAACATAAAACATGGTTATGGTTTAATTCGTAGCATAAGGTGATAATGCACTCTATGATGTAATGCATTAATGCAAACAATATTTACTTCTTGGAAGTTTGAAATCTCTGATTTTAATTTTGAATACAGATTTAAGGTAGGCTTTTCTTTCCTCTGACATTTCTACCAAATCAGTTGTAGAACTACTGGTTTGTTGGGAATTTTACAGCGTCAACTGTCCTTCTGGGTGTTCACATGGCGCAGATGTGTATGGAACTGGCGTGTACACGGACGTGAGTATACGACTGAACGATATGAACTATTAACAAGTCTTTGTACGTCATATCAGTAGCTATAAATAAAATTCTTCGTATGAGAGGTATGGGAAGGAAATTGATCAGCTGCCAATCGTTGCATGCCAGGATTCGGGCGTCTGTCGCGCTGCCATCCATGACGGCAGACTCACCAATTCCGGAGGCCGGGTGACTGTCTACAGGTGGCCGGGGCAGACCTCCTACCAGGGGTCTACTAAGAACGGCGTTCAGACCTTGGAGTAAGTGGTGGATCTCTTAGCGTGTGCTCCAGTTTTGTCTATGTCACGATTCGTGATATAAATGACTTATAGAAGCCTTAAATATCTTATAGAATGTCTTATAGAAGCCTTAAATATGCGCCATCCTTTCACCCTTTTTCAGTTACGACGCTTGGGGCAGTTCCTTCGCCTTCGAACCAGGTAACCTATCCATGTCACTGTTTTTCGATAAACAATGTGGTCACGTATTTACAAATGTATGTACTCGTCTACATGTGCTTTCATTTACGACTTGTGCGAAGAGATTGATTCAAATTTTTTTTCATTTTTCATGAGTACAAATCGTATTTTTCTGCCTCACATTACAGCACCTGACGTCGTCGGAGGCGGTATCGATGGAGGTGACGATAGATATGTCCATACATGTACCTAAATATAGTCAGGAAGTACTAAGTAATGCGCACACGACAAGCTTTTTGTGGGATACAAAAGAAATTTCTTTCGGGTGAATAAAAAAACATTTATTTATATCAGTAGAAATACAAAAATCACGAGGGCATGGTGAGGTATGAGACATCTCTTTGTATCATGTTTATTTTGCAGGTACAATTCTGACTGCACCCCCCGGGTCAGAGGTCGGGAAGATTCAAGCCGCCATTGAGGAGTTTAACCGGGTGACCGGCTGTATCCGGTTTGTGCCCCGAACCAACGAACCGGACTACGTCCATATCAAAAGGCTTGATGGGTAAAGATGACGTCACATCTGGTGTTATATACTTTGTTATTCCGACAGGTAGACCCGGCAGAATTAAGGATGAACTGTAGTTCAGCAGCTGGCAGTATTTACAAGTAATGTCATAACAGTATTAAAGTCAGTAGCAAATGCTTTTTCACGAAAGTTCCATTCCCTGACACTGGAGTAGGATTGGTAATTGTTTTGGCTGTCTTTTCAAAGAAGTCTAACAATGTCTGGAAATGCCTTCTCACAGTTAAGATCATTTAAGTTTAGCGAGTCTATTTCTTTTCCCCAGTTGCTGGTCTGATATCGGCGTGAGCGGCGGGATGCAGGAGTTGTCCCTCGGTAGCGGGTGTCTGTGGAAGGGAACGATCCTGCACGAGCTGATGCACGCTGTGGGCTTCTGGCACGAACATCAGCGGCCGGACAGGGACGACTACGTCACCATCATGCTGAACAACGTTGACCCAGGTGTTTTTTTTACTTCAATGCTGGGTAGGGAAGTATTGTTTTGGGCGGCTGAGCTGTGGGCTTGTGCTTGTGCATCTATTTTTCCGGACAGAGTAGGTTGACAGCATGTGGGTGGTGGAATAATTGATAGGCAGAATGACACGAGGTCAAAAGGTCTGGCACTGGAAATAGGGTCTCAGAATCTGGTGGGGAGCCAGCAGGGAATTCAGGAAGCCAAGGATTGCATACATTCCGGAAGTCTGGATTTTTTCTCCGATTTTATGTTCTTAGGTTAACTCCACATGCCATTATTTTAAAATCCACTTTGTGAGCAGACATCAGGACAACATGCCACAGACGGCAGGATATGGATTGCTATGTGATTTAAAAGTCAGACTTTCGAAAGCAACAGAGCTTGTAGTTATGTTGTGGAAGTCTATTTGATGAATGACAAAGACCAACAATGACTCCGTTGTTTGTAACGTAGATGAACAGTCCAACTTCGATAAAAAAGCCGATAGCCGCACCCTCGGGCTGCCGTACGACTACGGGTCTGTCATGCACTACGATAGCCACGCCTTCAGCGCCAACGACAGGCAAACAATCGTGCCCAAGGTAGGTTGTAAAATAGTTTGAAGCATCTACTATTCGTAATGTTGGTGTTGTTGCGGGGTTCGACAACAGTAATGAGTGGTTTCAAAAGGTACATATGATGGCAGAAACATTGGGCATTATAAGTCTTTCATCTCTACATTTATGTTCCCTTCCCCTCTGCAGCAACCCTTGAACGGCATCGTGCTCGGTGATACGGAGGTGCTCAGTGCTCTGGATATACAGAAGATCAAGAAGCTGTACGATTGCAACAAATAAACGGAGGAGCACTATTCACTGGTGCAGCTCCTGCTATGATACATTGAGTTTGTTTTTATTTCCACATGTCTACATACAGTAACAATCGTTCTACTAACAAACACAGGAAGTTTGTGTCACAGAAAAGAGTGGTGGGCCAAATACGTAACGATTAACAACCTGTAATAACAGCCTTCACTATATATAGTGAAGGCTTAGGGAAAATAGGGCTATACGATAGTCTCCAAGCAGATCTTTTGGTGGGGGTACGACAGTATCGAATTGGCCAGTCTGTAACCATTTCCCCACCGGATCTTCTTGGAGATTACTATACGAGTCTATGTAATAGGGTGTGATATTATTTCTAATTCAAGACAGTAAGTCATTAAATCTTTATTGACTCGCGGGCAATGAATTGGAGATGGGGATAGGACAGGACGTGACGTATTACCACTGATACGGTCACTGTCACTCTAGTGTCACTTCACCACGCTGGACGTGAAGAAAGGTTATGTTTGCCTGTTCCTATCCTCTGCAGCTATCTTAGGGTCGGAACATATGCCGCTTTCCCAGTGCAGTGGTAGAAAACATACTTATGAAGACGTACTGTTGTCAGGTCAGTGTGGGTCACATCCGTACTGTGCTGTGGTTGATCTGTCCGGAATACCAACAGAGCCAGGATAGTAAACATAGACTAACAGCCTGAAGGTTTCCCAGCACAACACAAACTTTGGCAAGCCTTTTTGGTATTGAATAAAACAGTGATAAAACTTTAGACCAATCCGTTTCCATTCGGTCCATTTGTCTATTGCACGGGATTCCCAATTATAGTAGCTAGACGAGTACGGCAAAACCCACTGTGCTTTTTAATAGACACGCCCACAAAATATTGTGTGTACAACACCAGGCGATTTTAACGGCCTGAACATACAGCGGCTGCTAGATTAGAGGAGAGCTACACACTTTGAAAAGGAGAGGCAGTTTTCTCAAAGTGTCTCACACAGCCATGTTTGGAATGATCTCTTTCCTGTTGGTTGGGTTAGCGACAAGTGCACCAAGTGAGTAACATTTTCCATACAGTTCCACCGTGGTATTCCCTGATTTGGTTCACACATGCATCCTTTTGGTCTATCTTAGACATTAACACCTCCCTCCCACAGCAGAGTGCATAAACACACTGTTTGGACCAAATGCCTTAATGTTAACGACCTCTATGTATTGACAACCTTCCCCAGGTCAGCTGAACAAGGGTGACATTGCTGGGGCAGATTTCGTGAGTACAACAAGTCTGGAAGGTTTCTTAACAATAAAAAAGGATCCTATGGGCGTATAGACATGGAGGCTTAATTTAGACAACGAGTTAGATAATAGAATCAATACGATCCAAGTATTGTAAGTAAAGTTAATGCTTTACTTACAATGTTAACTCAATGACAAATGACACAGCTGTTTTCATTTCAGCAGGAGAGAAATGCAGTCGAGGATACCCAACTTTGGCCGTCTGGAATTATTCCCTACGTGTTCAATTCTGAATACGGTAAGCAGGCCACAGAATTTACCGTTTTCTAGTAGATACGGGTCATCTTTGGAGCTTCTTGCTATTCAAGTCTACATTCTGTTATACCACAATATATCTTGTTCTATGGTGTTAAGTCTTCAAAATTCACCCATGTAACAAATGAAACTATCTCATTCACTGTGTCTTTTACGTCACCCAGGTGATTTGTTGCACGATGCATCGGAATACGTGAATTATCTAGAAATGTTGTCTTTGATATTTTTTTTATTCCAGCAAGTGCCTGTAAGGACGAGCACCTGAGCTGTCCGCACTGGGCCAGTATTGGGGAATGTGACGTCAACCCAAACTACATGCTGGTCAACTGCCGACTGAGCTGCGGTATCTGTGAACAAAGTAACCACCACCAAATTTGTTTTGTAGCTGAAGCAAATACTTGACTTAAGATAAACCTGGGTATGACCGGACATTACGCATTAGGGTATACTATTCATATCCAAGTTATCCAATATAACTTACTACAATGCTGTGAACAATAACCCCATAACCCTATTACCAACCATTTTTGTGCTATCATAATGAGTAAAGTTGCATATTAGATACTTTCAAATAAAGGAAAACACAATTGATATTGCCAAATAGAGATGTGCTATTCAGATGCTCATATGCACCACACAATCAACACTGTGAGAATTAAAAAAAATGCACATCAGTAAAACTGTACATGTTAAGACACGAGATGTGTCTATTTGTGTGCAGTATCTGAGAGAAGCACCTGTCAGGACAACCATGGCAGCTGTAGTTACTGGGCCAGCACCGGCGAGTGTCAGATTAACCCCAACTACATGCTCGTCAACTGCCAAGCCAGCTGCGGCATCTGTCAACCGAGTAAAGTGTTCTTCTCTCTTACGTTTTCATCCAACTTAACCTACGTATGTCCGGGTTATTCACATATATATACTGACCATTATTATGGCTATAACTGTTACATATAGCCTGGTCAGAAAGAACAAGACACCAGTTTGCAAAATTTCGTTTTTATCTAGAACTCCTTGCCGTGCCCCAAGTACAACTGGGGCATCCTCATTAGATACCGTGCAGTTAGATGTGCAAAGGTCCAATGTGACATGTCGTTGAGTGCACGTAATATATAACCAGCTGCTGCCACGCCGCGTGCTCGCGAAGCTGGTTACCCTGAATTAACGAAGGGCTTTACAGATATAATTTTTTCCGACCATCTTCATCTTTCCCGATGCTGATTATGTGCTGTGCATGTGTTGCCTTACTTACAGCCTCCACCTGCCAGGATAACCACGAGTTGTGTTATGACTGGGCCAGTATCGGGGAGTGTGACGTCAACCCTAGCTACATGTTAGTGAACTGCATGCAGAGTTGTAACGTCTGCGCGACAGGTTCGACTGTGTATACTTACTTTTGCAAGTAGCTTCAGATATTTCACGGTGCAGTACTCTTCTTCGCAAGATCATTCAATCATTTAATATGTTTCATTATTTTTCATTTCATTGGTATGAAATCTGCTACTGCATACAACCGCGACCTGACTTCTGCCCGTTTAATGTGAATTACAACATTAAATTGCATGTCTTCCAAGGAGAGAACAAAGTTTCAGTGTTGGTGTCTTGATAGTTAAATATAACATCACCACCACCACAGCCGAGCCCTTATCGGACCAGGCGCCAGAGGAAGGTTCTGAGGCGGCGGTGATACTGGCAGCTATGGCGGACTTCCATAGCGAGACCTGCATCCAGTTTGTACCCCGCACCACTGAACAAGACTACGTCCACATCCGCAAGCTCGGAGGGTATGTACATAGGAACAGTGCCACTGTTTGAAACCAGAAACATAAAGCTTAACCCTACTTATTCTTTGAAAGCTTGAGTTTACCACGAATGGCTGACGCCGAGAATTCAATCTGCCCGTATTTGGTGCATTTCTAGATCTTTTGGAGCAAACAGTGCCAATCGCTACAAGATTTTATAGAATAAAGATAAACGAAGTAACCCATGCTATATACGTTTCGCTCGTTATTAATTGTTTTGTATATCTGTGTGTAACTACCTGATCATCCCTCCAGGTGCCATTCCGCGGTTGGTCGCCAGGGAGGGCGCCAGGAGCTATCTCTCGCTAATGACTGTCTACAGAAAGGAACCATCATCCACCATCTCATGCACGCTATCGGCTTTCAGCACGAACACAACCGCCCGGACAGGGACCAGTGGGTCCAGATAAACTTGGGAAACGTACAAGACGGTCAGACATTTAACATTATTACGACAGACTGGGTGCCAATTAGAGACTTACTTGACAAGATAGTGGTGTAGAATTTTATGAATTATAAGGAGAAGAAGCTTGATGTAAAATTCTTTTTGAATAGCCAAGGCTGGTAGTAACACAGTGCCTGTTTCACTGTAAAAGAAACCGATTCCACATAACCCAGACCACGTGCCATAGCCTATAGAGAGGCCCTCCTAGAAGCTTATTTCCAATCAGTCATTATCATGATTTCCTGTAGGTCACGTCCACGATTTTGACAAGAACACCGACGGCCGTACCCTAGACCTGCCGTATGACTATGGCTCCGTCATGCACTTCGACAGCCACGTCTTCAGCAAGAACGGTCTGGAGACTATCACAGCTAAGGTCAGGAAAGTCCACTGTAATGAACCCTTTGGCGTACTAGCATCGTTGTAACGTAACATTATCTCAACAACAGGCATTTGCAGTATGTTTCCTGCATTCAAACACAGTTGCATCACACTTAAATGTATTGTATTTTTAGTTCACTAGTTATAACTATGTTAGACTATGTTGAAAATGGGACCGATGACTGGTTTAATACTTCTTACGTTTGATATTTCTGAACTCTATATATCAGCGTCCCCTGAGCGGCGCAGTGATGGGCGGCTGGAGGAACACTGGCTTCAGTGACTTGGACATCGAGAAGATCAACACGCTGTACCAGTGCTGAGGCAGCTGGTTGTACTGTTGGTCAACCAGGGCGGGCGACGCTGTTTTAAAACGTTTTAGGGCTGTTTTCGCTAGACTACTGAGTCTGTTGGGGAACGCAGAATAAAGTGAATCATGACTTCATCATGGCATGTCTTTATTAGTGTGTAGGTGTTCGCGTGTGTATGACACCGAATGTAGCTGACATGGTTATCCACATTGTCACAAAATCTCACAATCAGAAACTTCTTTTATTGGGAACTGACTGTTTAGCATCATTTTAAATGATGAATCCTGGTCGTTCGCTCGTGTTGTACAGTTGACTAGTTGACTATTCTATGCATGACCTGAAAGCAGAGTAAAGTGAACAAAAGTTCTTCGTTAACATTTAAACATAAACGCGCGAATCATACTATGAAGCACAACTGAAGTGAATTTTTCGTCCCAATAAGATCTAGTTTGCTGAAAACTCACTGACCTACAAAACATCCCCTTATGAATAAAACAATAACAAAAAATGTTTATACTTATAACAAATAACTTACCGACACAGCTTGCATGAACGGCCGGGACGACTAGCCACTGACTGCCGTCCCACACCTGCCACTGGGACCTGATCTGGTCAGGCGTGATGGCGCAGTCGTTGACGTAAGCGAAGCCGAAGTTTTGTCCGATCGAGCGACCTACCCACCACTGCTTGTAGTCTTCGAAGAAGAAGAGAAAGTCCCTGCTGTCCGTGTCGCTATTGTAGACAGGCCTGCCGCCGCTGGTCTGGCTCGTTCTGGTGTAGGTTGTCATGCGGGAAGTTTGGTAGTTAGTATCACCGCGCAGACTGACCCTCGTACAGTCTGTAGCGCCCCCTGCCGATTGTGGAACTACAACGCCAGCTGGAGCGTCATCTGAAACGAACGGACATGACAACTAAGACTTTGTATAGAAAGTTTAAAAACTTTCGCAAGCGTAAATGGAAGGTTTCAGGGCACCCATGATTGGAAAGGAAAAGAAATTGGAAAACATGCGACAAGGTTACAAACGATGAAAATTGAAATATAGTTGGCTCCGTGTATAGATGGGATGCAAATTCCCATAAAAAACATAAATGAAACGTTGACAGACATTCACATATGATCCCCAAATATGGTAGGTCCTACCAACCAGAGCAGGCGATCTTTACGTCCGGGTTCTCTATCCACTGGTCGTCCCACAGCAGGAACGTCCCGATGATCTCGTCAGCGAACAAGTGGGAGTCCCTGACGTGCACGCTCCCGAAGTTATTCCCAACCTGCGGCCCCACCCACCACTCAAGGTTCCTGTCCCCCTTGTAGTAATACAGGTAGTCGCAGGTGGCGCTGCTGAAGTACACGGGCCGGCCCTCGTGAGTGTCTCCCGTCATGGTGTAGGACGTCATCTTAGAGTGCTGCACAGTGTGGGAACCGTACAGGACAACCGTAGGGCACCCTAGCATGGACAGATAGTTACAAATGTGAGAAGTGAAGAAAAATGAGTGAGGTAACATGTTGATAAATTGTTATGAAATGGCCAAGAACTCCATAGCTCATAATGTAGTTCAAGGAGTTAACATAAACTTACCAAGTTTGCTGGTGTAGTCAACACACCCCGGACAGTCGCAAAAGTCTGTCCCAGATCCACAATATCCATTTGCAGAGCAGCACGGGAACTGGCCGTGCGGGTTGCACTCGCCAGGTGTCGCCCCCGGAGCTGGGAAGCGAGAGCCACAGCGGCCATCGGTCCTCCACTTCTGGGTGCCTGGAAATGTGGGAAAATAAATTTATCGGTTTGTTTTCGGGTAGATACTAAAATACTTTACAATGTCCCCTTTGTCATAATCTAAACTGTAGGGTGCTTCGTCAACACCTACATTACACCTCAATATAATTCTTTTTACTCGTATTCCAAGCACGGCACTGCTGCATGTTATATGTCTTGTAAAACGACGAAATATTTGCAACACTCACCGCAGCTGTAGAGCGTGTTGATCTTCTGGATGTCCCCGGTACTGAGGCCGTCGTTCTGTCCCATCAGCCCGTTGGTTGGGAAAAGCGCCTCGATGGTGGGCTGCCCGTTCACGCTGTGTGCCCTGCTGCCGTAGTGCATGATGGAACCGTAGTCGTACGGCAGCCCGAGTGTACTGATACCGCTCTCCGCGTGCTTCTCAAAGTCGTCTCTCCTGTCTGACAGAAAATAAAATAAAACAAGGTCGGCAATAAAATTATTACCATGGCGACGGTTTCTAGTTTGATATTTAGGCTATTTATCTGCTGATTAATTTTTCATGTGATATGGGTCTGATTGTTGTCTGGATGCTTGTGTAGTCAGATTTTTGCTCTGTCAGCGACACACACAGACATTACAGAAACTTCTGTGCAATAGCTAAAATTCCTGAAATGGGCATAATCACTATTAGGCTTGCCCTTGAGGCGTCGCCAAAAAGGACTAATTTACCTCTTTCACACGAATACATCATTTCTGAACTTCAAAGACACAGTATCAGTTAACTAAGTTAAGTCTAATATTAGCAGATGTAACATTAGGAAACTCTGCAACCTTCAAAAACAAAGGGCAGTTCCTATAAAGCTTTAAGCTTGTTTTTACAGCAAATTTGTGAATAGACTCACCGTCTTTGATGTTGTTCCACAGAATATTGACCCAGCCGTCCCTGTCCGGCCGCTGATGTTCGTGCCAGAAGCCCAGCGCGTGCATCAGCTCGTGTACGATGGTTCCCTTCTCCACACAGCCGTCACCCAGAATTACGTCCTGAGCACCTTCATGCTTCTCACCAATCCATGCCGAGCATCTGCAAAACATAGAACACTTTTACCTTCGCTAGAAGGTTGTGCCTTCGGTTTGGATATGGTGAGATGACTGTGTATTTATAAAGCATAACTCTTGGTACCATGGATGGATGTTAAAAAATTATCCACGAATGTTACGTAGCTGTGTAGTAGAATCTCACCCATCTAGTCGTTGGATATATAAGTAGTCCTGCTGGCCAGTTCTCTGTACAAATCGTACGCACGTATGTTGATGGAACTCTTCCATGGCGCTTTGAATACGCGATACCTCTGTTGCAGCTGGACAATCAAAAATATAGTTTTATGTTTAAACAACTACTTATACAAAGGATGTATTCAAGTATATTTGCCCAATGTGGTATCTATACGTCACCCCTACGAAATAAAAGCTACATGTACAGTCAGTTAGTCAAACTTGCCCAATTTTAATGCTGCTTCTGTGAGCTTTACTTCTGTATCCATAAGAAAGAGTCCATGTGACCTTGTACAGAGTACACAACATGGACTTACAGTAATCACCCTGCCTGATGACGAATGGGATCTCCTTATAGTCCCACAACAGGGCTGATTCTATGATGGCATTACGAGAGTTCTGAAATGAAAGGGTAAGAAATGCTTGTAACAAAGTCACGTTAACAAAATCAGACAGATTTCCATCCATGCATATATTACACAAAACTACAGCAATGGGGACTAATTGCACAGTTTACTCTTACTATTAGAATACATGATTATCATGACTACATACAATTGTTATTACAATAGAAAGTTATTAAAAAGTTATTAAAGTTACAAAAGTTATTAATGTTTGCTTTTGTTTGCTGCTCAAAAGAACGTTTTGGTCAGGTACTTTTGGTGAAGCAAAACTCTGTATGAAAGTACATGTAACGCATACCGCCGGTCCGTAGTACTGAATGTCTGTCTCAAACAGATGGAGACCTGAGGAAAATACGTCATGGTTAGTACACATTAACACATGAGACAGGCATCTTTACATGAGTGAACCAGAGAAAGATACGCCATTTCAAATAGCAAGTACTCCACGCCCTTGATGAAGTGATGAAGAAAGGACTATATATATGTTTAGTAGACACAAGATAGGCATATATGAAGTCCTCACCTTTGTTTGCCTCAATGATGTTATCCATCGCCACCCGGCCAGATCCGTGCGCCGGACCACCTTCACCTTTAAATAAATCATTCTCATGTACGTAGCAGCACTTTTAATACGTTAAATACGACTTCTTGACTAGCACCAGCACTATTATATTGCAAAATTCAAGTTACAAACATGTCGATTTAGAGTGTTGTATGTATAGTTTTAAGACGAATTACACTGTTCAGATGTATTACAGTGAGCTCTAATTCCATATTCTATAAACAGTAGATATATGGGTATTTAAAGGTACTGAGTCATAGCTAAATTACGTGACCAAAGTGTAAAGATTTACCCTGAAGGTTGCTGTGCCCCTTTGACTGCACCGAAGCTGCATCCTGGATACATTAGCAGCATAACGACCAAAGTTGGCACAGTTTGACATTTTACAAATATTCTTCTTAACCCAGTAGTGCTTGAACACAGACGGACCATAACTGCAAGATATATTATGGATTTTCACAGTAAAAGACATTCGTGATATCAATAGTGTAACATTGATAGACATTACAACCGATATGACCAAATGACACATGTAGACTGTGAATATATTCGAGAAAGTATTCTTATGATATAGATGCACATTGATGAAATGTACAAAACAAGGGGACTGAAGGTGCAACTCACCAAAGCTGGGGCGAAGACACAGACAAAGACTGCCGTGTAGACGCTAAGGGTGACCATATTGAACACCACCATTTTAGCAACGATTTGTTTGTAACGCATATACTCGTACAGTATACCCGATGACCCTTCGCCTCAGTCATAGTCTACCTATTTTCACAGCTGCATATTTTCTCATTGGATAACTTGTCCCTGTACTAAAAATAGCCCAGTGTTTAATTCTAGGAGACATTTTTTTGTCAATTAAAAATACAAATTTGGACACCCTGTATTAGCTTTTGGAAATGGCGAAAATAGTAGAGTGGTGATAAAGAGAGAAAACCGTAGGTACATATCTACTTACATGAAGAGATAAGCATAACGATTGGATGAATGGATGGATGGATGGATGGATGGATTTGGATGGATGGATGGATGGATGGATGGATGGATGGATGGATGGATGGATGGATGGATGGATGTAAAAAGAAATGATAAAGATACTTACGGGATGTTATCCTACATTGCCCTATTGTTTGTATAAAAACTACATGTATTGTATAGCAGATAAAACTAGCATTTAATTTATTGAAAACACATGAAATGAATCATCGGAAAAGACAACAGAACAGACTATATTACATAAATCTTTATTCGAAAGCATATTTTCTATCAAGCTAAATGTAGACATTTTATCAGGACACGCCACCAACGGGTCAGGTATACGTAATTAACACTATTAGGATATCAACATGTTACTAACCTAGTTAATGATTATACTATCGACATAATCCCTAGGGTGGTAAACGCACGTTTTAAACAACGGTAGGGTAAATTCATACTATTATGAAACAGTTATATGCCTTTGAAAATAATATTCTGACGAAGAAGAGGAAAAAGATCGTAAATATACATTACATATCAGTCGTGTCATGAGGTGTAGGTTTGTAGGCAACAAATGAACAACAAATATGTGGGAATGTCATTTTTACTCGAGCCATCCCTGAAGCAAAGTTAGTAGCTTATTTATAGCTTTGCGACGTTCTCTATTGTAGTAAAGAGAGTTTTCCAATTCGATAAGCTAAATATCTTCAGCATTACAGGACGGAAGGCAAACGATCATAGAGGATGGACGTTTCGACTCAATTAATGTCGGTGATTTTTAATGACAACGTCGTCGTGCACTTTCATGATGTGGTCCTGCATTTTATGTCAACTTCTATATGCATGTCTCTTCCGACGGTTCGCACTACTTAGTTTATTCCACAAGTTAACTCTAACCATTCCTATGCCAAAACGCACACACGATCACCCCATTGATCCTAATGACAACTGAAAAATCACATATCACGCCGCAGTCGATCCTTGATCAGGAGATCGCTGTTGTGCGCGCTGTCCGTCACACTACGTCTTACGTTTCATGCCTCACTGTACAATAAAGATTGGACTTCAGAAATAATGCACACTACTAGTTAGTGCATCGACATTTCTGATCCTAGAGATTCCAGCCGTTAATGAAGACTTTTTGTCATAGGAAAGTATTTTTTACAAATTTTACAAATTAAGATCAATGCTCTAAACAACTAAGCCATACACTGACATTTGCAAGATAGCATATTACAAATACGACTTACAGGACTGAACTTGAGAGTACAATATCTTTATACTGTGTAGACAATCCAGTATATGGCGTTGAAGACAGCAAATGTAACTGGAAACAGGACGCGGGAAAACTTATCGATGTCGTTCACGTCTTCTATGATCTTCCGTCCACTTCTGAAGCTGGTCAGAACCTTTGGGCTGGGGAAGCGCCTCCTAGTGGTCCCATTTCTAGCTGCACTTCCGTCGTTCTCTGGGACTGCAAGGGGAGCTTTCTTCTCTTCGAGCTGCCAGACGAGAAAACAACCAGGATAGACAAATCTGAGGAACTGAATTGACTGAACTGCTACTACACGTAAGCAACTGTAAAAAATATGATCGGTTATAACCATCAACCATCAAGTTAAAATTACAAAACAAACCTGGATTTCCTCAATCTCGGCCTTTTTGGACTTTCTTGACTTCCTGGGTGTCTTGTAGTATCTGGACTGGTAGTTGACGGCTGCGTACTCCAGCAGAGCGGCGAACACGAACACAAAACAGACCACCAGGTACACGTCAATGGCCTTGATGTACGAGATCTTAGGCAGTTGAGCTCTCGTTCCCGAGACCAACGTTGTCATGGTGAGAACAGTGGTGACACCTACATGTAGGTAGAAAAGCAAATAGTATCTTATGAATGTACCGTTTTCGTCCTCTTTTTCCTGTTTATCGTTGAGACATTTGTTTTTCCATTTTCTACAAGTTGACCAATCATTGACTCAATCTATCAAAATTTTACTATCGATATTTCGTACTCTAGCTCAAATAATGGAGTTTTTCAATGAATGAAAGGAAAGACAAAAAGCAACACTAGAAAGGCCAATATTTGCTTTGGAGCAAATACAGCGATGGGTTCACCACATTTTACGACATGGCAGGGAAAGAATGAGAAACACAAGGGAAAACAATGATTTACATTGATATAACTATAATATGAAGTAAAATACAACTAAAACAACAGTTGGATAGCTATTCCCTACTTTATTGGTTAGTGCATAATGCAAACTGTTGATTTTCAAAATAAAAAAAAAAACGTCCATGCCCGGCATTCCAATGCTGGAGCAGGAAAGCTTGAAATACCTACCAAAACACTTGAATACAGACATACTGTCAGTATGGAAATGCTTCTGTGCAGGTGTTAATCAAGTTAAATCCCAACAGCCAATCAGCAAGAAGTATAGAGGAAAGCTGCATGCCTATTGGTTGATGCCCTGCATTCCATTGTTATGACTCATGCCCAAACGTGGTAAACAAGGCCACTAACACAGTAATACATTTGCTATAACACAGCCAAAAAACTCAAATAAAACCATTCTAAAAGCCTGTATCACAATAATTTAAAAAACGCCTAGGGGTATTTGCCCACTGTACCTCCATACCAAATTTCAGGACCTTGGGCCCTAAAATGAAGAAGCTGAATCCATTTAAAAAATGGCAGGAGAAGAAGAAGGAGAAGGAGGAGAAGAAGAAACATCAGAAAAAGCAATATGGTTTCACCACACCACTTCGTGGTGTGGTGAACCCATAATAACATTAGAAGTTTAGATGTACTTTGGTTAACAGGTATAATAACAGCAACTGAATGAGAGCTACATTGTATAGTTAGGCAGGAACGTTACTACAACCCGCTAATGCGCCTACTTTTTACAGCACAAAAACTGCCACGTTAGTCAAGGCACGCCAACAGCACCCCATCCGTCAAAAGTGAGAACCATACATGTATGTCTACCTATCCTTCTAGTCGTCATTCTAGTCGTTATAATTACCTAGAGCGACTCTAGCCGGCGTCGAGTCCTTATCAATGAAGAAGGACACCCAAGACAGAATGACTATCAGTATGCACGGCAGGTAGGTTTGTAGCATGAAGAACACCACATTGCGTTGCATATGGATGTGCAGGGCAAGTTGTGGATAGCGGCCTTGGGAAGGAATGCCGACAGGACAGAGGGTGGAAGTGTATGTTAGTGTGCAGACAGAGAGAAAGGAAGAGATTCTACCCGTACGAACTGGACGTGGGTAGAGGCGTATTTGATAAAATATTGATAGATGCATTTGTGCCCCTTTCAAGACGTGACGAACAGACTTTTGACTGTCCGAAGAGGAAACAATTGAGTGAGGTCTCCGTCCAGTACGCATGGGGGAAGACTCTTGCAGAAAGACAGTTTTCTTACTTAGAGAGACCCGTGCAGGAGCTGAATTTGTATCGATGTAAAAGGAAACCCAGGACAGAACAACGAGGAGCATGGAGGGCAGGTATGATTGGAGAAGAAAGAAGAACACGTTGCGGCGAATGGTGAACTGCACGACTAGCTGGGGATATTTGCCTGCCGTATGAAGAAGGTGGAGGAAGGATAAAACGTAAGGAAAGGCGGAGCGAGAATGGAGCGTTTAATTTGACAACAGTGGTGGGCTGGACCTGTGGAAAACTAGAAGTAAGTGGTGCTTTATGGTGAAAGAAAATGATGCGAGGAAGGAAGACCTTGGAAAAATCAAATTCATTCTTTAGTGACTCAGGCCATAGATGCATTGATCCACGTTTGGGTCATACATACATCCGGACTGTCCGTTCGCAACGTCATAGCCATTCCAATGTATACTTTTCAAACTTCAGAGATAAGAAATCCTTTGACCGTTACCGGGATGTGTTGCTGAATGTCATCTACAAGGGAAAGTTGATGAAGTGTCGGGATCTGTCAAACGTCATCATTAAGAGCTGGTTAGTAAGACCAAAGACAGTGCATAATGCCCTTGGTAAGACAGCAGGGCGGCAACACCTACGCTTAAAGTTGCAGAATTGGAATGGGAATTAGTAAAATGAAGAGGGTTGGGTGACTGTAAATGGGTGACGAGAAGAGTGACAAGATGAGGATGACCCTGAGGGTCCGATTACCTTCAGGAGATCTCAGTTAGTAAACAGGTAGCTTCACAGTTTCATCTTTTAGCAGGAAACCATCTTTGAATTCAGATGTGTACATTAAAATGGTTTCACACTTGTACACTGCCGACTTTGTCCTCTACTGAAATGAATTAGTAGTAGCCTCTTACTGAGGGACACTCTGGCCGGCTCGGAGTCCGGATTGATAAAGAACGACACCCATGAGACAATGACCAGCAGACTGGCCGGGATGTACGTCTGCAGGAAGAAGAAGAACACCTGGCGCCGGAACAGGAGCAACATTTGCAACTGTGGGTACCGGCCTACGGAAAAGTCAAGTAGGATCATTGTATAAAAATGCCTCCCTTGTTATCAATAAAGAATAACATGTTACAGCAGAGAATAATTGTGAAAATGGCATCCATTTCGATAATGTCTAGGACGTATAAACATTTGCAACTTTATTGAAACGTTCACTGGAGTCTGTGTCACTGTCATCAAGCAGCCTGTGCTCACTCAGACCAACGTCAACAGCATTGTCATTATCAATTGATATCAGTATGTAAGAAAAAGACAGAATTACTGTCATTTAGGTAGTCATTGCGTACCAGACCATACTTGCTGTTGTTCGAACATCAAAATATATAAAGCAGGTGCACATTTCTAGACTAAAACTCTAATCTGTTACCATCAATAGTATCTAAAGATCAAAGAGCCACTGACTGACCGGTTTCATAGTCCCCATATCCCTGCAAGGCCTTGTAGTCGTAGATGGTGAACTGAGACAAGCGGATGTCCTTCAAACCGGATATAGACTTGTCTCCTTCCCGCCATTCATACGTCATATCCTCCGTGGTATAGCCATCTGGGATTCAAATGTATTAAAAATTAAAAGTCACATTTTCTCCTCCATATACGTTTCTTTCAGACGACAGCAGTAGTACACCGTAGGTTGATATATCGTCTTCTACATGTCATGTAATTTAACTGTATCAATATTGACTGATAAACATACATGTGTGATACCCAGCCCGAGGATGTTCAAATCATACTTACAGCTCTCCAAGATGAAGGGGCAGCTTTGCTCGTCCATTGGATACTTTCTCAGGTCCATCTCACATTCCATTTTGGCAGTTATTCTAAACCACAATGACAAACAAAGAAATGCATTAAACATCAAGGATAAAAACTTTACTAGAAATGCGATATGAGTCATTATTGCAACTATAATTATATTTGAACTTGATCTTTTAATACACATGTATTGTAAACTGCTTTAATTGGTCAGTCATATGAAAATGCGACCGTTGCATGTTTGTTCATTCAGTGGCCTTTTGCTGTTACAGTAGTTTTGTCTCTGTCGTTACATTGACTTTATTTAACTTTCCTCTTGTACATGTACAAGGGTGAAAACAAACTGCAATTTGTCAAATATAAAAGTGAAGTGAAAGACGTCCTTACCTCATCCCGTAGAGGATGGAGCCGTCCGGAAACAGGCGGATGAGCGCGTTGTCCACGGTGACGGCGTGCAGGTAGGAGGACTTGGAGTTCTCCAGGAACGTGTCAGGGACCCACAGCTTCTTCACCAGCCTGGGATCCAGACTCATGCTCCTGTTCCCAGGGAACTTCAGGCGCGGGTCATTCCAGTACTGACGCATCAGAACGGTCACTGTGTAGTCCTGGAACGCAGGAGAAGATACCGTCAGGATATCCGTACATGATTGTATCAAAATCGATCAGGCCAAGGCAATGTCTCGTGTTTGTATTTGTGTTACGGCCTTTGTCATGATATATATATTATTGACTGATAAGCTAAAAGTCTTAGAATAATTTATGACGCTCTCGCCACATATGTACATTGTTGTGAGTCAGATATCATACTACCCAAAAAGCAAGTCTCAAATTTGTCATATATCCAATTTCACGTCGAGTTACTACCATATTCCATTGTAGAATCGAGCAAAGACTTGTCAGAATTAGTGTTACAAATATTGACACGACGTATGATAATGACGTTCATGTTAAATCCAATTGGGAAGTTCTGGCGTTGACAAACGTGTAAGAGTTGGCAGTGGCTAATAGACACAAGAAATACGTTCTTTCCTCAAAACAGGAAAAGGGATAATGATATTAGGTGCACAAGCTTAAGCTTAATAATTTCAATTTATTCAATTCGACACAACTCGTACAAAAGCAGGGATTGGCTAACGCATCCCTGAATATTATCCCTGAAGGAGGTGCACTGTGCGACTTTAACTTTTCTACAACGCTAACATTATTTTGACCTTTGTATCCTTTGCCCTTAGGGGGTGACTTAACATTCCTGTGACATTTATGGCCAAGGATCAGAGTACCTTTTAGTGCCAAACCCCCTTGGATATAAGACTTTACCTTATCGGAAAGGAAGTTTGAAATGTTAACATTCTTGTGTTAATATTGATTTAATCAAGGCTATCTCAGATGACTTCGTCTTTTCAGTTTCCAAGAGGTAAATATCACCACTTAACAGACTTTAAGGGATATGTTGGTATATTGCTAGCGATCTCTCACCACATGTGGGTATTAAAATGTTTCTCTGGGGAACCCCGTACAAGGCATTGGCATGTATGACATGTCGCGCCCCTATAGCCCAGGGGAGCACCAAATTAGAATGAACTGCTGAAAGGATGATTAGCGAGACGTACCGGACAAGGTCACGTAAAGTATAACATGTACAATTGACATAAGCAAAGCCCGGCGAGGGAACGGGACAAACTAGACTGCCTGCCTGGATACTAGGTGGGGGGCATTTTCTATTACCAAGAAAGTAACGTGTGCGAAGCTCTCTTCTTGACATAGGGACTATAAAGGTTAGAAAAAATGAACTTACACGTGCACATCTAGGAAATCTTAATGAATCGTTCTTGACTGGATGAAAGACTCACCATGTCTACCTCCGACACCTGGTCAATACTGGCGATGGTCATACTCATCTGTACGGCAACGGGTTTGCCTGGAAGGAGGGACAGTAGAGCAAAGTCACTAACAGGACAATAGCTTCAAAACAGGGATCATGGCTTTAATAACTAACCATAATGTAAGAAATGCAACACGTTGTTTCAGTGCTTTCAGTGTGTACAACTTGATGTTTCAACTACTAGCTGATGAATGCTTTCCATGGAAGGATGATAGTCTCCTAATGATATGCGTGGTCATTTAATTCAGATCTAGAAGGAAGTAATTGATCTCTATTCATCCTGCCCTCAGTCTCTAACACGAACATGTAGTACATGTACTTGTCCAGACGTCCATTATGCAGACTGTGCCCTATTTCCATAGACCTGACTTGTGCATTCTGTCCGACGGTTTGCCCTTCAAGATCAAACGGTCACGTGGCTGTCACGTGACGAGGGGCTGACAGAAATAGGTGCAGGATGGATGAGTTGGCGGATGTTGGAGTAATTTGACGTTGACGGATGAATAATTAGCGCTTTGCATGTTTCATACATCAAACTTTCGATGAAGTTAAAGGGTCACTTTTGTAAGAAAATTACTCCGTTATGACAGAACGAGAAAAGAGAGAGTATTAGCATGTTGAATTATACTTAAACAAGAGTTCCACGATCTCATACCTTCGCCAAATTATGTTAACCCTTGCGGTTGAAGAATTATACAATTTTGATAATTGATTTTGCAAATAAGATCCTCATTTGCATGGGTTATATCAGTTGATCATATTCTCCATCCAATGACAGTCTTATCTTAACAAAAAGGCTATTATGGCACTTCCTCATAAATTATGCAAATGAGGTCATGATTTAAATTATGTTTATTGGTGTTCGCCTTCACTTAACTTATAAATGTGGCAAGTATGAAATTCCCAGCAGTTACAACTATGAAATTATAAAAATTTGCCATTAATTATGCAAATTAGGTCTTCATATACATAATCTATATCCTCAGATGTTTTTTTCATTCTCAATTACATGCCACAAGTGTTTCATAGTCCTATTATCGAACAATGCAGATTTATAGAATTTCCTCATTAATTATGCAAATTAGCTCATGATTTGCATAACTGTCATTTGATTATGTCAATCATCCCTTCAGCTACCTACATACCAAAAATCACGACAATACGTCAGCCGGTTCTTGAGTTATCATCCATCGAAAATTTTTCAACAAATGCTCCTGCAGTTCCCGAACAAGCTGCTAGGGGGCCCAAACTCATGTCACTTCTTCCCTACCCCAAGAGCTATCTACCAACCAAAATTCGTGACACTAGCATGTCCAGATCGCGAGATATCAAAACCGGAAGTTCTGCTGCAGTACCAACAAAAGCCGGTAGGGGGCCCAGAATCTAATCATTTCTAGGTCTCATCAAGACCTACCAACCTACCAAGTTTCATGACAATGCATACTAAGCTTCTTGAGTTATGCTGTTCACAAACAAACAAACAGACAGACAGACAGACAGACAAACGCTACTGAAAACATAACCTTCTTGGCGAAGGTAATAACGCAACCCTAGAATGCAACAAACTTCGCTAACCTGTTCTACACTGTTTCTTTCAGCTTTACATGACGACAAACACAACAGTTAATCAAGAATACAATCAAGAAGTGAAACAAAATACCAGGTGAGTGCCTAACCATCCTTATTATACGCAATATTGTACATAATCACGATAGTTAGGCAATGTTCGCATCTCTATAGTACTTCTTTCAAGATAAGCTGTGTGAGTTTTGAAATACGGTACCATGCTTTCTATGATGTCATTGCTGGCAAAACAATGTAGCCTGGGTGCCAGGCCCCCGTGCCATGTATCAGTTACATTACATGACAGGACTATTAAAGCGTGTGGCATATGTAATTGCGAACGAGAGAAACGCAGGCAGATATTATGTAAATTAAGATTTAAATTTGCATAATTAATGAGAACATGTTGTAATTCAGCAATGGTAACTGCCTGGAATTTCATGCCTAGGGCATTTGAAAGTTAGGTGAAGGTAAACATCATTGAATCACATAACTTATTGAAATAAGGACCTTATTTGTTTTTCTCTCTTTGTGTCCACAGGTAAATTTCGCCATGCCTCACCCTGAGATGCAGACTACAGCAGGGATTCACTGGCTAGCACGAAGCCCAGTCAAGGAAGGATTGGGGTGTGCATTCATGTTTTGCACGCAAGAAATTTGAAAAACAAGCATTGAATGCAGTAGCATCGTGAAAGCAAAGAAAAAAAATATGAATAAAAAAAGCAAGACTGACACAAACATACATGATAGAAAAC